AAACTTGATACTTTTTTCTATTCGAAATGGATAAATAAGTTCTAACTCAACACCAACCCTTCAGTCCCAAGTTGAGTACTCAAACCTCATTCCTATATACCATTTCAATCTAATCCTTGCAAAAGTTGGAGCATACTTCATCAAAAGATTCAAAGATGTATATATACATAGTTGGAGAATTTCCACTGTTAAACTCCCAGTGTTTGAGTGTTAGAGTACTATAGCTCTCATAATCCTTATCTAGTTAAAATTTTAACAACATTTCAATCACTAAAAGGGCTTTTTCCTAATGGGGGCAGACAACAAATTCATTTCTAAAATGAATTTTATAAGTAAAAAAATCTCAGTTTTATTGGCCCCCATTCAATTTAACGTACACCCGCACCTAGATTCAACCCAGGCCAAGCAACACTTAAATTATACTGAAAGCAGTAATATTGAAAGCAAAACTTCAATTTAGGTGGAAGGAAAACAGAAAGAAATTTGAATAAAAGCAAAACTAAAACAAAAAATGGCTAAATAAATCATAGGAATCCGGACCTGTACTCAACGTCGTCCTATTCCTTGCTTGAATGTTGTCATGTGCTCGGTCGAACGCCGTTCTATGCTCGCTCGGAACCTGCTATCGACGCCGGAGCTGCGATAACTGTACGCCACAGTCGGCTTCAGTCGCGGTGGTCGATGGTCCAACTTCAGGCCAATAGTATTCCGCCAGCCCCATCTCTGGTCGCTGGTCCAACAGGTTGGCCAAGAGTATGCCGCCTGGTCTGTCTGAGGTCGCTGATCCAAATTCAGGGCAAGAGTGCCGCCGGGTCGTCTGTGGTCGCTGCTGTGTTTGTTCGCTAGGTTTGAAACGGGGAAGCAGCAGATACACATAATTTTATAACTTAAAATAAAATTCATCCACATGGGTTATACCGGATCAGGAATAAAGGGCGCTTTTTTTAAGTTTTTTCAACATCGGGTAAAGTAAAACCGATGTTGACTGAACTTTCACTAATCCAAAATTTTACCCCGTTTTTTTTCAAGATCGGTTTTAGGTACACCCAATGTTAAAAGTATTTTTAAAAATTAAAAATATACCCCGTTTCACAATTTAACATTAGTTATACCAACAATTGATGTTAAAAAGTTTATGAAAATTATAAAAATGACCCTGTGTCACTATTTTACATGGGGTTTGATATAACACATGTAGATAAGGTGATGTAAAAGCCCTTTTTTGTACTAGTGAAAATAGCTACTAACTGTTCTAGAGTCCAGTTTCTTTTCATTTGGCCTATAAGGCCTTGCCTCAGCTGGACAACCCCAAACATGGAAATGATTTATACTGGGTTTCCTTCCAGTCCAAATTTCATAAGGGGTCTTAGTTGTAGCTTTAATTTAGTGGGAACTCTGTTGAGTATGTAAGCTGCAGTTTTCAGTGCCTCTCCCCAGAGTGAATCCGGTAAAGTAGTATGACAAATCATACTCCTAACCATGTCCTTTAATGTACGGTTTCGTCTCTCAGCAACACCATTCATGCTAGGAGTTCCAGGCATAGTGTACTGAGGAACAATACCACACTCCTCTAGGAATTTAGCAAATGGACCTGGACGTTGTTCACCGGAACCATCATATCTACCATAGTATTCACCACCACGGTCAGATCGAACGGTTTTAATTCTTTTGCCTAATTGATTTTCAACTTCGGCCTTATAAGATTTGAACACGTCTATTGATTGGGACTTTTCATGAATGAGATAAAGGTAACCATAACGAGAGTAATCATCTATGAATGTGATAAAATATGTTTGACCATTTCTACATGGTGTAGGGAATGGTCCACAAATATCTGTATATATCAATTCTAATAGATCTGAAGCTCTCTCGGCACCTAATCTCCTTTTGTTCGTTTGTTTTCCCTTAACACACTCAACACAAATATCCGAATTTGAGGAGTCAAGAGAATCAAGAATTCCATCGGACACAAGTCTCTGAATTCTTTCTTTAGAAATATGTCCTAAACGCTTGTGCCAAAGTGATAATGAATTCTCATTGGTTAATTTTCTTTTAGTACCACGAGTACTTACATGCAAGGTTTCATTATATGAGGCAATTATATCAAGTGAATATAGATTATCATAAATTGATAAAAGACCGGTACCAATAAGCTTTGAATCTTGAAATAGACTGAACTGACTATTTCCAAATGAACAAGAATAACCAAATTTGTCCAATGCAGAAATAGAAATTAAATTCCGCCTAAATGACGGTACAATAAATGTCTCTTTCAAATCCAAATAAAAACCAGTCTTTAATAATAATCTAAAAACACCGATAGCCTCAACTTCAACCCGCTTGCCATCACCGACATAGATGTATCTTTCACCATCAATTGGTTTTCGGCAGCTCAGGCAACCCTGCATGGATACACTTATGTGAGTAGTAGCACCGGAATCTATCCACCAAGTGTCCTTGGGTACCGAAATTAAATTAACCTCAGAACAAACAAGAGCAAGAGACATACCCTTTTTCGCACGCCAGGCGTGGTACTTAGTGCAGTTCTTTTTCTTGTGATTAGTCCCTTTGCAAAAGAAGCATCCAGATTCCTTAGTTTCTTCCTTAGTTTCCTTATGATGCTTTCTTTGAGGCCCTGAACTTACAACTTCCTTAAATTTCCTTTTCTTGCTGCCCTTAGAGGTAGATGTCAAATGAGCACTTTCAGTCTTATCTTGCTTTATTCTCTCTTCCTCTTGAACACAATGAGAAATGAGCTCATTTAGAGACCATTTCTCCTTAATGCAGTTGTAACTCACTTTAAATTGATTAAATTGAGAAGGAAGAGAGATCAAAACTAAATACACAAGCAACTCCTCAGGTAAAATGAGCTTAAGTGCACTTAATTTTGAAGCAATATGAGACATTTCCAAAATGTACTCCCTTATGTTCCCTTTGCCTTTGTACTTCATGGAAACAAGAGTGCTCAAAAGAGTACTAGTTTCCGCCTTTTCGTTTTTAGCAAAACGCTTTTCAAGTTCGGCAAGGAACGATTTGGCATCATCCTCATCAGACATAGTGCCCCTGAATGATTCTGGAATTGCACGTTTCATGATCATCAGACTCATGCGGTTTGAGCGTTCCCACCTCTCCATCTCCCTCTTTTCATCAAGGGTAGATGAGTCCTTAAGAGCGGCGGGTTTCTCAGTCCGGAGTGCAAGGTCTAGATCCATGCAACCGAGAACAATCATAACGTTCTCTTTCCATTCCTTAAAATTCGTGCCATTAAGCACAGGGATGCTATTAATATTAGCAGATATTGTAGCAGCAGAACGGTTGACTGGAAGAGAACAAAAATAATATAAGTTATATGCTCTAAAAAACTGAAATAATCTTGATAATTAGTTTTAAATTTAAATATTAGCAATCCCCATCACAAGATACCTAGCGCAACATCTATTCTTGTCTTTGGACATAAATTAGACTTGCAAGTGGTACTCTTGGTGTAATAATAAAATTTTGATAATAAAATCATGTCAAATACTAAGCCTTTCTTTGGACCGACTTAATATTCACATGAAAACCTCATAATTATCACAAATTTTATTATCACAAATGTACTCAAATTTCGGCCAAATAATAACCTTCCTTTGGGCCGATTATTATCCGCATGAAATAAGAAGTACACAGTCATCTCAATATATGAGTTAATTAATTTCAACAAGAGAGGCTACTTTGGCAGCATGTTGTGTCAATTAACCAACCCAAATATTAGACATGCTAATATTAAATAATAATAAAAACTGAAAAATAAAATTGGGCGAATTTCTCGGAATCACATGCAAATGTGTCATGTATAGCAGTAATTTGTAAAATCCATACTCAAACGCTGTGCGATCGCATAATATGATTTATACTTTCATAACACATAATGCATATTTTAAGCCGCAAAACATTATGACCAAAAATAAAATAATTTATTTCGTTAATATCCAAATTATGTATTTCTGGTAGAACGGAAGTTGGCCATAATTACATATAAATATTTAATTACCAAAACCGGTAATCACATATATATGTACTGAATTACCAAAATTCATCTATACAAATTTCCAAATCGAATCAGCCAAAAATTGGAAACATATCAATAATTTATATGATGCACATATTCTACGGCAGACTCAAAATTGGAATCAAACTAATGAAAATAGTTGATACGATAATTTCTTAATAAACAATGGCTCATATATGATTCACTATGAATCCAACTTAGTCCGAATCACTTGACACACCGTATTAATGGCTGAATCAAACAATAAAACTGGAACTCAAAATTGATTTTAATGACTGGAAATTTGGATGAATATCAAAACGGAATTGACACCAACCGATTACAATTCGACAATATTTCACATGTACATACAGAAATTCCAATCGTAAATGATCAGTATGACTGAAAATTAAAACGCGGCATCCGATTAAAACTCAATCGTCTCGTTTAACATAGACTACCGATTTTATGAATGTATTAGGAACGAATTGCATAAACGCAAAATCGCATGACCCATGTTCCATTTAATCGGCAGATTATACTTACTCCAAATAATTCAATATGAAGGAGGCTCTGATACCAATTGTTGGAATAAATCCGATAATACTTTAATCTTCATATTGGAATTATCTAGAGAATTAACTGAGCGGAAGCGTACCTGACTCCATTGGAGATGATCTTTAGAGATCCGGGAGATGGAGGCTAGGGTTTGCGTCTTCTAGTTGATACACACCCTCGGGAATTATCTCTCTAGCGATGGGATGCAGAAAGACGGAATGGCGTGTTAATCCATGGACTTCTAAAAAAGTCTATGGACTTCTAAAAAAGTCTATGGACTTCTAAATCCATAGACTTTTAATCCGCTGACTTTTAAATCCGTAGACTTTTAAATCTGTAGACTTTTAAATCCGTGGACTTTTAAATGAATGACTTCTATGGATTTCAATAAATCCATAAACTTTTACTTGGACTTATTTAAGACCAGATCCAACTAGACCAAACTTTAATAAATAAGAATTGCTACATAGAAAATATGACAAATATAATAGCTAATGTTCTCTATTCCGAATGAGGTGAAGCATAAGCATTAAAAAAATATAACAAAAAAAAAATAAAGTCATCAACGCACGAAATGGGAACAAACGTCTTGTGCTACTGAACTATGGATCAAAATTATTCATTTTCTGCAGCTGCCCACATTTGAGTAGCAAGATTCATCCTCCATTCATTGGCCTTTTCCCTCTGTTGATCTTGTGTCTGAAAATTATCCCATTCAAGATTGTCCTCATCATCGCTAGGTGGGTCTTCTTCTGGATCCGGAGGAAATTCATCAGATCGACATTCACGTCGAAGAAAATTATGTACTCCTGCACATGCCAAAACTAATTCTGCTTGTGTTTTATAAGAGAAAGGAGGTGCTGTTTTGAAGATTGTGAAGCGTGACTTGAATATTCCAAATATCCGTTCAATCACATTCCTTAAAGAAGCATGACGAAGATTGAATAGTTCAACCGCATTAACAGGGTGATTTCCTTCACCACCAAAATCCTTTAGATGATACCGAGTACCTCGGAATGGAGCTAAAAATTGACACCGATTTGCAAATCCACAATCCCCCAAATAATATTTTCCTAGACATTGAATCATTACCCAATTAGTCTATCATACAATGCAATAAGTAATTGGTAACAGAGATTTGGATAAACATGTTAAAGTGTACCTGGTAGCACTTTAAGACCATTTGGTCTTGAAATTGCATCATTTAACACTTTTGAATCATGGGCAGAACCCTCCCAACCGCTAAGCACATATATGAATTGCAAATCAAAGTTGCAAGCAGCTAGTACATTTTGAGATATAGTCCCATGACGATTTCGATAGCTGTTCGTTTCTCGTCCAGGTACTATTGCTGGAATATGAGTGCCATCTATTGCTCCGATGCAATCCTAGCATTAGGAAAAGAAGAAATACCAAAAAAAATAATTAATCGATCATCATTAATCATTTAAAATTGGTGAAGTGCATTAGGAAAAGAAAAAATACCAAAAAAAATTAATTAATCATCCTTAATCATCAATAAAGTTTTGCATTACTGACCTTGAAATGAGGATAAAACCTTGTACTCTCTCTGATGACATGTGGTATAGATTCCGGTTTGGCCATAAATTCGGGAGCTATTGTATTCAACGCTTTCAATACTTTGTTGAAGCTTCTGCTAATGCTGAAGTGTGACCGCTTAAATATCATTCTTGGTTGACAATAGCGGTTATTTTGGCCGATAATAAGTAAAAATGTTGCTACCATTTCTTCAACACAAATATATCTTGTATCTCGTAAAGGCGTTTTGTTTCTTAGGATACAACATAATTTTTGAAAAATGTTAGGATACATTCTGTATACATTTCTAAATGTTTTAGGATCTTCGGCCATTATTTCATCCATATATTTAATCCCATTAGCCATCACAGGTCGGCGAGTCAATGGGCGTGGAACAGGTTCATCGTTAATTCTTGAAGCGAGATTGTATATCAAGTAAGTTATTGCTTCTATTGCCATTAGCAATATCTTAAGAGTCCCATAAAACTCAACCTCATCTTCATCTGCTCCATACATATCTGTTTCACACATTGCTAAAAGAAGAATAAAGGCATAAACTTTAAAAAGTGAACTATGATATATTTTATAATAAAAGCATTCTAACGGATAATACATAAAATAGTTCAAATAATCCCTTTGCAATCCAAATAAATTAAATCACTCCAACAAAAGATAAAGTAAATACGCAACCATGGCCTATTTATTATTAGATATCTCTAGAGGACAAATCTAATGAAGTTGTTTAACGATTGACAATCCAGTGATAGCGTTGTTCGGGAGTCATCCTTAAAAAGAAATCTTGCTTCGCTTTCGTATTCAGCAAATCAAGAGCTTTAAAGCAATCCTCGTCTGTTAATCCAGGGGTCTCTTTCATAGCATCCAAAAGATCATTGTCCCTTGTTTCTCTCTTCTCCATTAAATAACAAATTTTATCAAAACTCTTAACAATTTTATTAAACCCCATTGACAAGCTCTCAATAACCTCACCGTGACTATTAGGTTCCTTTGTTCTTCCATTGTTCTCAAAATCATTTCTACCCCTTTTTCCTTTAGCTCTATTGCTTGATGAAGGTGGATCCTCTATATTTGTACCACCATCTTGTGGAAGATATGATGAGTCCTCCTGGTGGGATGATGCATTTTCACTCGGTGTGAACATGTTAGTATTTGGATCAAAAAATAATCCATCAATGCCACCAATTCCACCCGATTCATCATCTACTCCTAACACTGTAGCGTCTGTATTTTCACCAAGACCAATTGCACCCATCCCAGTTGCAGTTCCATTCCCCACTGCGATTCTCAGATCCTCATAGTCCGGACAAGTTTCTGACCGAAGGTGTGCATGTTCTTTATGTGACTGATATAAAAAAATATAAAGTTTGTTATTATGATGTTATAAAATAGACACACAAATGAATAAAAAAATGCCCACCTTCAGGTAGTCAGCCCATACTTCTTCGGAAGCAGTGAATTTCTTTGTGGCCGCATCCCATCCGAATCCATAGTTGTGTCGCATAAGTTGAGAGTAATTGGAGTATTGTTTTTTAAACCATCTGACTCTACTTTGGTAATGATTAAAACTAATTTCATAACCAAGCTTTTGCTTAAGTTTAGGAAGGAGTCTGGTCTCTACCATTTGTTTACTTATCACTCCATTGATATCACGAAGGCCAAGTTTGGCACTTTCAACCATTAGCTGAAGCAAGACATTACTCTCTTCTATGGTCCAAGTTTTATAATCCTTTTTTTTGGCATTACCTTGTGAATCACCCATCTATAAGACATGTAAAACCAATCACACAAACAATAAACACAAACTCATACCCCTTGATCTTTTCAAAGATAAACTATATTAAGTTTTGGAACACATATTATATTGTCTACAAACTTAACTACAACACACTTATACATACAGAGGTAAAAACATAAAAAATGAACAAGAGTGTAAACCTGCTCTGCGTCTAATTGACCAAAAACGAAAGAAAAAAAACTCCTACTTATGGCTGCTATTGTGTAAAGAAGAGGCAACTCCAATTACTCTTCATTGAAAACGAACGTATTAGTTGGATAAAGTGTTATGCTTTAACAAATACTGGATGAATAAAATTGCCTAACATTAACAATTACATAACCTCTATATACTCTTATTTCTAAAGCAAAAAGAATATAATACCTACCAATATAGAGTTTGAAACATGGTGGAATCTGCAAATACCTAACATTAACAAAGAGGTTACGCCGAGTTTGCAGATTTGCCTAGGAATTTAACTAGAATCCTCTATCTCTTTCAAACAACACGTTTTTAATTTAATTCAAAATTGCTCGTTAATTTTTTTCTTAAACAGAATATAAAAGGGGGATCTATTTCAATGACAAAAAGATATTGAAACATTAATTTGGGGTTATTACTCATAGGAAAAATACAATTAAAAAAAACTAGAAAGAATTACATAAGATAAGAAAAGGCCGACTCTAGAACTAGATATGAGCCCTTACAAAAAAAAGTTCGAGATTAGCCTTGTCAAAAATTTTTTGTCAAATGTTAAAAATAAAAAAAAAATAGATTAATACATAAATTTCATTATACCAAATCCGCCTTTTATAAACTCGCCTCCAATTTGAAGAAGCGTTTGAAAACGTAAAATAAAAAATTTGTTCTTCCGATGTAAAAAATTCTTGTAAAAATTCCGAGCCCAAGCTTTGTAACAAATCGCGTACAGTACTTTTGAGTTTCCGAGCTAGAGTTCGAGCACAAGAAAGCCTAAGTATATACTTTATTTGATACAATGCAACTCGGTGTTCAAACAACAAGTCAAAGTTTCTAGAGCTTCGTTAAAATCTTTTTGCAGATTTGCCTAGAAGTTTGGGGTTAAACTCGGCGTAACCTCTTTTTGTTAAAATCTGCAAATACCTAACATTAACAAGTCTATTAACAATGCAGCTTTGTTAAACTCGGCGTAACCTCTTTTTGTTAAAATCTGCAAATACCTAACATTAACAAGTCTATTTGCAGATTTGCCTAGAAGTTTGAAACATGGTGGAAGAAGAAATTCTACTCCATACAAAAATAACTTGGCTTAACACATATGGATAAGCAATTCGGCTTAACACATAGAAGTTCGTTCTTGCCGGTGGGGCCTAAAAGTCATTGTTCTTAATTAAGAGGAGTCAAGTAAAGCACGCATAGGAATAAAGAGATAAGTCACCGTTGCAGATTACCTGGAGTTTTTCTTCTTGTGGGACGGTTGTTCTGTTCTTGGTGAGGCGAGCAAGAGGAGAAGACCCAGGGAGAAAGTCTGCGTGAAATCTCTTGGGAAAGCACGAGACAATCGATGAGAAGGACTATATATACGATTAGGTCTAAAGTCCACGAAAATCCATTATTTTGTAATTCCACAAGATTTGTTAATATTTTGAATACACCCGTACTTTTATTGACTTTTAGAAATCCTAATTGAATACACCCGTACTTTTATGGACTTTTAAAAATCCTAATTGAATACATCTAGATTTCTAAAATCCATAGACTTCTAAAATTTTTCCACGAAATCCCAATACAATACACCCCCCGGAGGCTAGGGTTTGCGTCTTCTAGTTGATACACACCCTCGGGAATTATCTCTCTAGCGATGGGATGCAGAAAGACGGAATGGCGTGTTCAACTAGGGACCATAACCCCTCTATTTATAGAGAATACTTAACCCTAATCAGCCCATCATTAATTAGGTTAAGCCCATGGGTTTCTACACAATTGGGCCCTATACCTTATTAGATAACTTATTAGCCCACTTAAATTAATATCCATAGGACCACTAATTTTTGGGCTAAATATAAGATAGCATATAACATACAATTAACCCAATAAATAATATATTGTGAATATTATATGTAGTATAAGTCCAATAATCTAACATTAAAATCTTTAATAAATTAGAAAAATCAAATTCTATTATAGTAAAGTTTTCATACTCAAAATCATAAAATAAACCAAAAAGGCGTTACAGAGGAAAAGTAAAAATCAGAACATTACAATTATTAAAGAATTGAAGTACACAGTATTGCATATAGATAGTATAACGAATTCTTATTTCATAATTTTATCGTATGGCATGGTTAAGATGTTTCCCATTTCACATCAATTTTTAGGGGTGGGCACGGTCCGGAACGGTGTGGTAAATTAGCGAACCCCGTAATGTATCTGTGAGGTTTCTATCAGTCTCGTAAGGTTCGATTCTAAGGATAGAACCATTCGGTATCATGCTATTTCGGAACGGTACAAAACGACACGATACAATATCAAATTCATGCTAACAATTTTGGACAAGTTTTGCAATAATTAGATATTATCACACCGTCCAACTCACACAAATGTTTATAAAAATACAAGAAAGCGCATACTAAATATTAGGAAAGATTCAAAAGGTTGACATTTTTGTATTTAAATTCAAAAATACTCAAATAGCGCAACACAACTAAGGAAAATATAGTAAAATGATGACACGTCAGATAAATATCATCTTTAATTTATTAAATTCAATTCATGTAAGAATATAAAAAAATCATCAAATTGTTGAATATAATAGAAAGATTCAACTTTCTTCTTCTTTGTTTTAGGCTAATTTAAAAATTAGTTCTAATTAAATTTATAGTCACATTGAAACCGTGAGAGTTAAGATTTAAAACAAAAGGTCATTCTACACTACTAGAAATTAATAGTCATTTTTAATGATTTTTCACACATTAGCATTCTTTCAATACATACTTGGGCTATAAAATTGTTAGTATGTAAAAGAGATTTATTCATATGGAAAAAGTATACAAATTTCAAATGCATGATTTTTAAACGGTTCCATTCGGTATTTTTCGGTTCGTACCCGTTTCAAACGGTTCGATTTCTGTTTGGGATAAAAATCTATAGATCCATTTAAATACCCAGTATTTGGTTCGGTACCATTACAAGCCGGTTTGGTACCGGTTCGGTTCAGTTCGGTTTTTATGCTCACCCCTATCAATATTCATGTTTTAGATTTTTGTAATTAATTTTTTATTTTGGTTCGGGTGAGAAAATCTAATGCGAGAAATAAGAATGAATCTTAACTGTTAGATTTACAATGTTGCACTAAAACAAGCTTTATGTTGCACTAAGATTTAAATTTTGAAATGTTACCTTAACACTGTTTCATATTGCAATAGGATTTGACGACGACATTGCACTAAATCAGGTTCATATTACACTAATGAGATATAGCATGGATTTTTGAAATGTTTTTTTAAAGCCTTTTTTTAGAAAAGGGAAATTTAATTGATAAGAAAAAATCAGTACAATGTGAAAATAAAAACAAAGAAGGAAATGCACAATAATAATACAAAAGGAAAGAGAATAAAATAAACTAAAAACTAGGCCAAAAGAAACTGTTTGGACTATGATCTGATCTAGTCCTCATGGTGTGACGCCTTTTGTTCTTCTGGGGCTACTTGTAGATTTTGAGTTGAGTGGTCAAATTGCCATGCGGAAGACAATTATCTGAAGTAATGAATGTGGGTTTGTGGCAAATAGCTCTGTTGAATTTAGAGTCCGTAATATCTTCCTTTTCCGAGATTGGTGGTCGACGATCAGATTATTTTAACTAAAATCTTAGGGAGCATATGTTGCACCTACAATCGCAGGATGTTGGGTGTTGTGAAACTGAGCACTATCGTACGTTTATCATAAAGTACGTGGATATTTCGTTATGAAGTACATTCAAGACATCATTAATGATGTCAGTTTGTTGAAGAAGAATGTGAGTTGAAGTATTATTGTGGTATGGTGTTGTAATTTAATTGGGATGTTAATGTTTTCTTGCATTACAGTTTTGTGCAGTGAAGGAGTATTCTGAAGAGGATATTTTACAAGTCCGTGAAGAATGGGTTACATATGCCGCCACGTTGATAGAACAGTGAGTTTATATTTTAGTTCATATGGTGTCTTCATATTGTTTCAGCTCTTATGGAGTATTTGAGTGCATAATAAATCCTGAAACTTGTTCTTAAGCATGTTATTTGTTGTTATAGGATTGGATGAGGGTGTTACAAGAAATTTGCAGCATGTCGGGACCTTGTATATCGAATTAACATTTTGCAGAAGGAAGAAGTGAACTCATTTGGAATGATGCATATGTATTATGAAGGATTGATGTTTTATTTTGGACTTGAATGACAAAGTTGTGTGAACTTATTTTCATCTGAATTTGCAAGTAACTACGTACTATATGGTTCGTGGCATTTTGTTTAAACATGAAACAGACGGTCATTAATGACTTTTATGGTCATCATGCATTTTGATGAATGTAATTTAACTTAAGAGATTATTATATTACTGTTTGTCTTATATTATGATTTTAATTTAATTGGTTATGAAGTTGATTTGTTTGTATTACATTATATTGAAGGTGCTGAGAGATTAATGACATGAGCATGTGTCGTAAAACAATAAAGATACCAAAGTATCAAAAATATTGATGATGTGTTGCCGTCATTAATCTATATGATACTGATGTATCATTATTTTTTATTATGTTATAGCATCACAAATATTGTTGTTACTTAAATGTCATAAAATATGATGATACATAAATGTCACCATTTACTGACATTTGGTCCATGACACTAATTTTAGTGTCGCCGTGTCCGACCTACTGTGACGAATGTTATGTGTCACGGAAACTTTCCGTGACACAAAACAAGTGTCAGTGTAAGGCTTTTTCCTAGTAGTTAAAGAATTGGTATTGATGAATCACATATCGTAGCGTGATTTAATTTATCCTGGTCCGCAGATTCTATGATAATTATTTGTTTTTCAAATGTTTTTACAAAAGTGCACCGCACATATTTGCATATTGCGGTGCAACATAAACTGATTTACTGCAACATAGTCGAATTCAATGACTAAGATTTATTCTCGTTTCTCACATAAAAGTTTCTTCTTATTTGAACCTCACCCTTATTTTTTTGTAAATTCTTTTTTAGTACTATGTATGTAACATCTAGAAAATTAAAGAATATTATATTGGGATAGCTCAAATTTTTAAATTTACTTCTATCTCTAAGTATCACCTTTGATGTGTAAAATGTGATTAACAATTCATTTAAAGGATTGCAATAAATTTATAACATTGGGAGTAAAGACGGTAAAAGTAAGACCCAAGGGGTGTTTGGAATTGATTATGTTTCTATTTCATTATTGAAGTAAAAGCAGAATCAGAATCAGTTTTCAGAAATTAGTCTCTCCCAACTTCTAAAAATACTTATTCTAGGAGTAAATTAGAGCACAATAAGTACTCTTGCACTTTCACTCAAACACTCTAACTTCTGCTTCTGTTTCCTGAATTGAAAGAGTAGAAGCAGTTTTAAGAATCAGATCCAAACACCCCCTAAGTAAATATAGCATCCCATCCCTTAGAGCTTTCAACACTTGTCAGCTGGTCAACGATTTCCTCAATCGCCTCCAGAAAGATACTCAAAAAACTTCCTTTCATAGTCGGCTAGTACCGCCCAAAGTCTTCCCTTTGGGAGGATGTTAACTGGACTTTAATCACAAACTTAGATAGCGAGTGGGGCTTAGGACCAAGTACTTGCAAATCAGCAGAGGTCTTGTGCATTTTCTTTGTTTATACCCACTAAATCCGTTTGATCATTATTCTAGGGAGATTTCCCAAAATAGGACTAAATAAGGTTTGAAATTCTAAAATAGGACTCTTATGTTTTTCTTCCCGAAATAGGTCAAGAGTAAGATGACAGTATTTACTGTCATCTTTTACTCATGACTGCCAAATAATTGCACTACTATGCATTCAACATGGCAGTATTTATTATAATTAATGACATTATTTTTCAACTATTGCATCATTTTTCAATCATGATATTAACGACTCTTATTTTAGAAAGAAAAACATATTAATCTTATTTTGGAATTCTCAAAGTTAAATACTCTTATTTAGGGCAATTTCTTTTCTTCTAAATCTAATTTCCTTAATTTCTTCATCTCAAAAAGATTGGGCAAGGGGTACTTGCAGAGGTCATGTGTGGGATTATTATTTTTATCATTTTTTAATATTCTATAGATTATTTATGAAAAAATTGAAAATAAAAATCACATCTATTGTTGGTCCGCCATTAATAATCTCAACTATAGATTATTTCTGGGTGATCCCAATTATAGGGACCATTTTCCAAAAATAGTCCATAACTAGTTACAATCTGGTATAGCAGGAGGTCAATTTTAAATGCAAACTATGCGTAACTGCGTAAACTATAAATAATCCCAATTATAGACGATCTGTTTTTATTAATCCCAATTATCCGCTCTCAATTTTCAATGATCCCAACTATAGATCTAGAAATAATTTTATAAATTTCCAAGCTAAATATTTTTAAGCATGAAAAAATAATTACGAACATTCTACAAATGTAACGAAATAAATAAAAAATTTATTCATTTTTTATTTATTTTTACTAAAAAATCATTTTGTTTCCCTTTTCCAATTTGTTTTTCATAGTTATGTTACCAATTTGTGATTTTGTATTATTTTCCTTTATTAAAAATTCCATTTTCTATTTTCAAAAAGTAAATTGTGATTAAAATTTTTACAATTTAGATCTTTGTTCTAGCTTTTAAATCTAAAAATATAAACTTTCTATTTATTCCATTTTAGTGTTTTAATTTCTACAAATGTAAAAATGTGAATCGCTTGAAATGATGATAGAAAAATGCTTACCAAAAGTACGCACATTTTCTATAAAAATAGTTGGGATTATTATTACCATTGTAATACACTTTTCTACATTTTTTTAGAATTTTCATTATATCACTTTAATTTATAATATTAATACATTTTCATTAAAAGTAGTCAAAACCTCTTAAACCTATACCCCAAATAACTAAAATTAAACGATAAACTATATGATATAATTTATAAAATATAATAATATAAAATAAAGAAAATAGAAAGAAACTAGAAATGCTCAAATGGAAAAAATAGAAAATTCAAACTTTTAGAATTAAGATAACAAATAAAATCATTTTAAACACTGTTTACTCTTTGAAAACAGAAAGTGTAAATTTGAATTAAGGAAAATAATTCAAAATCATAAAATGGTAACACAGCTGGAAAAGACGAATTGGAAAAGAGGAAAAAATAAAACTTTGGTGTAAATAAATCAAAAAATGACTAAAAATATTTTATTTAACTTTGGTACGAACATTTGTATAATTTTTGTAGTTGTTTGTACATGTTAAAAACATTTAGTTTGGAAATTTGTAAAAAAAATTCAATAATCTTCCGAAAATTGAGAGTTGATAGTTGGGATTAATAAAAAATGTCAACTATAGTTGGGGTCTCTGTTCTAAAAATCGTTCTAGGCGCCCGACTAGTCCCCGCCTAGGCGCTAGGCGGTGGCCGGACGCCCCGATTTTCGTCTAGGCGCTCCGACTAATTGGTCGGCCGCCTATGGCGCCTAGTTGCCCGCCTAGAGCGCCTAATCGGCCGCCTAGGCCGTCTAGATTCGCCGAACATTACTTTGCTTTTTAATTGTAATTTTCCAAACGATATACGTACTTTAACTTTAGTCATGGATATAAGGAAATGAAGTTGTAAATTAAGATAAAACTATACATGTTTGTATATACTCCGTATATCTAAATTTAATCATTATTTATATTTCTAACATAATGAAGTTAAGTGATTAGTTATCATATACTACATATGATTAGATGTGATAATTCTATCTTTTATGTTTGTTAATGTATATGTATATATGTGTTTGATACACACAAAATAACAATATTACTTACCATATATATGCAAAAATGTAGATAAAAATGCAATTTCTATGTCTCTGACTAGTCCCCGCCTAGGCGGCCCGCCTAGCCGACTAGGCGCTAGGCGCTGGGCTGGCGCCCGACTAGCGCCTAGCGCCTTTTAGAACATTGGTTGGGGTTATTGAAAGCTTACACATAGTTCGCATTTTAAATTGATCTGGTATATTAGGACTGGGCATATCAGTTTTCAGTTTGGTTTTTATCGGTTTCAGTTCGATTTGGAACGGGTTGGAAGAATTATTCCCAAACAAAAACCATACTATTCTTCGGTTTGGTTCGGTTCAGTTTAGTTCGATTTGGTTCGGTTTGGATTTGTTAATTTTTGATAAAATATGAAGGATTTTTTGAATTTCTTTAGTTCTGTTCGGTTTTATTCGGTTTTTACCGGTTTCGATTCGATTTAATACGGTTTGGAAGAAATACTACCAAACTCAAACCAAATTGCATACGGTCCGGTTTTGGTTCGGTTTAGTTCGGCTTGGTTCGGTTAAACCAAACCGTTATGTCCACCCCTATGGTATATCATGCTGTAATCGGTTAGAGATTGTTTTTGAGAAATTGATCCTATAGCTAGGATCACTCAAAAAATAATCGATAGTTGGAATTATTAACCTGTAATAATGGGTATTATTATTTTCAATTTTCAGTTCATTTTAGTAATACTACTACGTACATCGCAATGGCCCCCAAAACAATCAAGCCACAAAGCTATCATCTTCCTTACTCTTACACCTAATAATTGCTCTGTAATGGAAACCCAAGCAATTTTCCTAATCCTAATACTATTATCCACGATCCGGTTAAGCAGTGCCGATGGAGGCGAATGGTCCGCCGCTCACGCGACTTTCTACGGAGGCGCCGATGCATCTGGTACCATGGGTAAGACCCAGAAAACAATGTACACAGGGAAGTTCACCTCTTGCTAATGTTTGATTTCTGGATGGGGATTTGGTGCAGGTGGAGCTTGCGGCTATGGAGATCTGTACGGCGAAGGGTATGGAGACGGAAATGCTGCTTTGAGCACCGCCCTTTTCGAAGACGGGCTGAGCTGCGGTGCTTGCTTTGAAATCAAGTGCGTCGACGACGGCGAGCAGTGTTTTCCGGGCTCAATTCTTGTGACAGCTACGAATTTCTGCCCTCCGAGTTCGCTGCCCAGTGATGCCGGAGGATGGTGTAATCCTCCATTGAAACACTTTGATCTGTCCCAGCCTATTTTCCAGCACATTGCGCAGTACAGAGCTGGAATCGTCCCCGTTCAGTACCGAAGGTAAGAGTTTTTTTTTTTTGTTTCTGTTTTCAAATAAATGCTTAGTTAAGACTTAAGAATAAGTTTTTCCGAAAATATAGGAGTACAGAGTTTTAGAATAAACTGTTTTCTTAGAATAAAAGTTATCCTATTTTTCCTAAAAAGGGTAAACTACAGTCATATTGAAATCTACATCAGACATTAAAACAGGTCAATGCATTAAAAAGATGAAACTATTAATTACAAGTATGATTTTAGTATGTTAAAGTGTCAAACAATACTTGCTCCTATACATTCTGAAGGCAATTTCTATTTTCTATATTCTTTATCAATAAAATGAGAACCGTTATATATAAATGGGAATTATATAGAATAAAAAATAATCCACGAGAGTACAAGAAAATAAATATGTTTTTGGACAAAATGAATAATAATCAAGAAAATTATAAAATATGACACTGGATTTAAGCATCTGGATATAACTTGGGTTTACATTTCATGAAATTCTCACATGTTAAACCTACAGGATCCGTGTTCAATACTCAATGGAGTGAGTTTGATCCGAGTTTATCTCTTCCATTTTCTTTTTTTGTCTAGTAGATTTTATTTGAGATGGTTTCACTGATAATTGTGTAAAACTTGCCTCTGTTCACCTCAAAGCTAATAAACACTTTTAGAGTGTATACCTTATTTTCCATATTCATCCGTGATAGTTTTGTTAATGTGATAGTTTTTTTGCTTGCTTTAAAATGTCATAGTTTTTTAGCTAAAAAGGTGACAGGTCTCATTTTTATCAAGATCAAGATTGAGACAGATCAATCTTGATATTCATGTTCTCTTTGAGTCATATGGATTGTTTGTTTTAGCTGAATTAGCTTTAATAAAATACTCCATATTAAATTTGAGAATTCATCTGAAAAGGCCACCTTTGTAAGAGGAGTAGCCCCAAATGTGAGTTTGTATTTGCGCGGTATATGACGACTTAATACTCATCCTTTGAGGTCTACTCAAGTTTTTGCCTTATTCACAATCAATAACACATGTATCTGTTTCAAATTCTGCTGCTTCACTAATAATATTTTCCCCAACCCAATCATATTGCCATTCCTAACCAAGTACAGAGTTCAGCTTAACTTGAATGACTCAAAATGGTAATAGGGTTCCTTGCAAAAAGAGTGGCGGCATCAAATTCACGATAACAGGTCACTCCTACTACAACCTGGTACTGGTAACTAACGTAGGAGGCGCAGGGAATGTTGTTCATGTCTCCATCAAGGGATCCAACACCAGTTGGTTACCAATGTCTCACAATTGGGGCCAAAACTGGCAAAGCAACGCATACCTCGATGGACAAGCACTGTCTTTCGAGGTCACGACCAGTGATGGCATCTCTATAGTCTCCGACAATGTGGCTCCTATGAGTTGGTCTTTCGGTCAGACGTTTACTGGTGGGCAGTTTTCCAGTGCACACTCCCCTGGTTCACAGCAACCAACTCACGAGCCCTACGGACAGCAACCCACTCGTGAGCCCTATAGACAGCAACCCACTCGCAAGCCCTACAGTGGCCCGTCCACAGGGAGCCAATCATCTGCTTCCAATTCATTGTCGACAATCAGAGTCAGATGTCTTAATTTTTTGGGACTTCTTATAGCTTTTGTAGAAGCATGGACGCTCTTTTGGTTGCATTGTCTTTAAGAGAGCTATTCAAAATATTGCAAACTAGCGTGTATATATCGTATTCACGAGTCGCTTGATACGGAAAGATCTTGTGCTAAGCATTTTGTTTGCTGAATAAGCTTCTTACGTAGTATGACTGTTGAAGGAGTATATATATATTGTAAGAAGTATATACTCCATAATACAGAGTATCTTGTACTACGTAATGAACTTTTTCTTTAAAAAAAATACGATAGTATCTTGTAATGAACTAAAAAAATCACACTTCTAGTTTTGAGAACTGCCAACAAGAGATTGAAAAGCATTTGTACTTGTTTTCAGAAATTTGTTTATTTAATTTTCAAAAGAAAGTGAACAACATATAGAAAACGATACCGAATAGTTTTAGTAAAATGTAGGTAAAATGAATGAATGAAATTGTCTTTTTAGTTTCCAAAGTTAATTACAGATTATTATTTGACCAGGTTTATAAACAACAAAATCGCTCTCAAGTCTCAACTTTTCTCAACTTTTAAATAGAAAAGTTGTAGACTAGTAGCAGACTAGCAGCTTGACAATAGGTCCACTTTCACATTAGCTAGCATTTTATGTACAAGCAAGTACAAACATTCTTTATTAAATATCATTTGTGAGAGATGGAAGGATATCAACGTACTTCCACCTGTGATCATTTAGAAAAACTCACGAAACTCATTGAAAAGTAAATCCATTTGCCACAAGTAGAATAACTTATGTTCACTGGCAAAAGATACCACAAAAGTTTGGCGAAAAACAATTTAATTAACAGCTGAAGTTTAAATTTGGAATAGCATGCCAATATTTCTAGTCTTTTTTCTCCGTTAAACTAATGAGAAAAACATATTGACAAAGCAAAAACAAAAAGTAATGAGATCAAAACTTTTCGAGACATAAAAAACTCAACAATTGTCTCTTCTCCTAGCTAGTTGACGGTCAATATCTCTATCGTGCCTTCTCCGCCGAGTCGGAGCACCACAACAATGTCACCGGCACAACAGAGCCGATTCTCCTTTGCGTATCCAAAGGCTGCCTCCGCCACATCACCGCCAACCACAACCATGCTAGATTTCTTCAATTCAGTGCTAGAAATCGGGAATATCCCTCGGTGTATCAATCCATGTCCCACTTGAGCATCGTCGGAGCTCACCACTGACAGAATGGGCATGCCAGGTCTATACTTCGCCACCAATTTGGATGCACCACCACCATCGGAGAATACGACAATTAGGGCAGCTTTGGTAGAACTCGCTGCCTGGACAGCGGAGCAGGCCAAGCTTTCCTCTGAACTCATCGGCGCCGGAGAATTTTCCACGGCCTTGTGGAAAACCACATGGTAATTGATGCACTTTTCGGCTTCAGAGCAGATATTAGCCATGGTTCTCACGGCCTCTTCCGGGTACGCGCCGGCCGCCGTCTCGCCGCTAAGCATGACGCAATCGGTTCCGTCTAAGACGGCATTTGCAACGTCCGTAGCCTCAGCACGCGTGGGGCGTGGGCATTTGGTCATTGATTCCAACATCTGCGTCGCCGTGACAACTGCCTTGCCGAGCACGTTACACTTTCGGATCATTACTTTCTGCGCAAGAAATATCTTCTCGATTGGAATTTCCATACCTAAATCACCCCTGGCCACCATGAAAGCATCTGAATTCTCCATGATCCCATCCAAATTATCAATGCCTTCCTGATTCTCAACTTTCGACATGATCACTATATTCTTAGCGTGCTCCCCAAGCAACTCCTTCACCACGACAACATCAGACCCTTTACGGACAAAAGACAGAGCAATAATGTCAATCTTGTTAGGAACTCCCCATTTGAGGATGTCCTCCTTGTCCTTTTCCGTCAATGTCGGAAGATCCACAACCACGCCCGGGAGATTCACGTTCTTCCGTTCTCCCAACACGCAAGTGTTCTCGCACCGACACCGAACCTGGCCTGATTCCTTGTTGCATTCTAACACCGTCAATGTGACTGTTCCGTCTGAGCAAAGGATTGTACTTCCCGGAGAGACATCGATTGCAAGCTTTTGATAGGAGACGGCGATTAAGGTTTCGTCCCCGACGACGGAATAGTCACTGGTTATTGTAATCTCTTGGCCTTGTTGTAAATGGATAGGTTTGCCGTCTTTGAGAAATCCGGTTCTAATCTCTGGACCCTATCATTCATTAGTACATTCAAATTAGAACTGTAGATGCGGATGGATATAAATTTATATAAATTGTACGGAGGCACTACATACAATCGGTACATACTGGTATAACTTTAATACGTTTGATTATATGAGTATAAGGATAAATAATTTTTAAATAATACTTCGTATAAAATTATTTATAATTAAATTGGTGGGTTAAAATAGCGAATTGGGTCTGGGAATAAAATTAATCCACTATATTTTAATAAATAAAGTTGAAATGAAAATTGTCTTTAAAAGTTTTTTTTATCTAATTTGAACCCAATTTTATTTATTCGTTTGGTGCTTATTAGAGCCTACCGTTATAGAGTTCCCTATTTAAATATTACAAATAAATCTCGGTGTTTAAAATACCTATTTGCCTGTTTAACACGGAGTAATAAAGTATATTGTATATTTCAATATATTGAACAACCACCCGGCCCATATTATATATATACCGAGAAGAGAGAGTTTTATAAAAAAAATGTATTTTTATATATGCATGTCAATATTGTATTTGTAGCTAGATTGAATAAGTAATTTGTAAATTGTAAATTCAAAGTGTGACAGTTACGCACATTTGAATCATATAAAATTATTACTCTAAATTAGGATTAGCAAAAAAATATTTAGATGAATCATAAAATGAATTATATCAGTACTAATATAAATTATATAATTAGATACTTGTAAATGATTAATATTAATATTAAGTAGTTGTGATTGTAAATAAAAACACAAGCATCGGTATAAATTTATGATATTTGATTATTTCAGTATTAAGGGTTAAATGAGTTTTTAATAAAATATCTTTATTAAAGATAAAAAAATATTTATTAATTAACGATCAAAAAACTTGATTAATAATTAAATTGGTCCTTGAGAATAGTACATTGAGACTTTTAGAGTGACTTTTAATTTAATAGAATCACTTTTTCATAAATTCAGTAATCTTTAATTTCGACATAATTAAGGATTCTTAGCACAAAACAAAAGATACGATTAGGGCCCAGTTTTATGTTTCTTATATGGTGGGCTCTACTCGATTTAAATTGGATTATGAGAATAATAATCACTAAAAATCGACCTATCTTTAGTTTTGTGTCAATTTGATTTAAATTTGTAATTTAAAAACAAAACTACTAGTATATATGGTTTTATTAATTTTGTTAATTCGGTTTAGTTTTGTTGTTTTTTCAATTATGGTTAAGACACCTTTTGTGTAAAAAAAAATCAACCATTCTTGGTGTACACATTTTTGTACCCATCAGTACACACATGTGTCTGTGAGAGTATTTTTTTGTCTGTGAAGCGCGGTCCACAGACATAAGTTCGCTTGTTTTGTCTGTGGAAAATTTCACAGACAAAACAAACCAGCTTTTGTCTGTGGACCGCACTTCACAGACAAAAAAAAACTCTCACAGACACATGCGTGTACTGATGGGTACAAAAACGTGTACAAAAGGAATTTTTGAAAAAAAATAGGGTTAAGACACCTTTCAAAAAACAAATAGGGTTAAGACAGTTTAGTTTGGAAGGAATATTACAAAATTCTACTCGATTTACATACTGTTTTAATTTGTAGGCTAGCTTCTAGGGTTTCAGTTTTGTTGAGTATTGTTTGGTTCGGCCAAACCAACTCCAAATTTCAACCCTAAGTTTTTTAATGATATATCATCAATAACGAACAATTAAAACATGTCAAGGTAAACTTAAATAAAAAAATTGGTAATTTTTCAGTCTTGGAAAAACTGATCGACAACATAAAACAAATACCAGATAAGCCCTAAATTTTTCATGTTCCAAATAATTGAAAAAGTATTGTATCATAAATTGATACTACTATGTTATCGAAATATTATAACAATTAATTATCAACAATGAAACTATATTATATATCTCAACTACTTAAAAAGAGAGAAACTATACAATAACATGTTGCAATTATTTAAAAACGCACGATGTATATGTTTAAAAATATCGGAAAATACCTTAGTGTCCAGCATGACGGCGCAAGGGATGGAGGTATTATGCACGGCGATTCGAAGGTTGTCGAGAGTTTGTTGGTGGTATTCATGAGATCCGTGAGAGAAGTTGAAGCGGGCTACGTTCATGCCGGCGACGAGAAGTCGTTGTATCATCTCGACGGACTGAGACGCCGGCCCGAGCGTGCAAACGATCTTCGTCTTCCTTTTCATTATCCGATTACTCGCCGGAAAAGTATCATCACCCTTCGTATTCATAAGGATCAAGTCAGCAATGGGACTGTTGAAAACATCACATTCCCTTGCCGCCGCTATTGGATAAATCTCAGAAACCTTTCGCTTTTTTTGGTTATTAGAAGTCAGCATTGTTATGAATTCAAAGGAAAGAACAGAAGGGGAGAGAGCTGGAAAAGCGTTGGACAAGTACGTTATACGTATGAGGGTGCGGTATTTATTTATAAGTAAAAGGAATGGGTTCTTATAGGACTAGGGTTTATGGAAATTCGGGTCTTAATTAGCTTCCTGATGTAACAATTTCGGGCCTTGTTGTACAAGGATCCTAGAATCTTACGTACTTATTTTTGAATTCTAGGTATATATAGATTTGGAAAGGTCATCATACGAATAATACGATAGTATATTGTTATTACCTGCCTAAAGGCTAAAATTTGAAGTAGAAATATAATTTAATATTAATTTGATATATTACATATTCATAATACGATAGTATATTCTTACCTGCCTAATAATACGAATAATTTGATATATTACATATTAATATTTTTCCTAATCCTAAAGCTCAAGTGATATGCGTTATACTATAATTTATGGTAAATTGTCTATTTGAAAAGGTAACACAAAAATTGTAAAGCTCAAGAGCTGAATATAGATCAACTTGTCATTTCATGGAGAAAACGAAAAATAAAAGTGAAAGTTCAGACCAATAGAGATTAGGAAAAATTGAAAACAATAATCTCAACTATGGCTGGTCCGCTGAAAATAATACCAACTATTGATTATTTTTGTATAATCCCAACTATATAGACTATCCGCCAATAATGGTCCATGACCATATATTACCTCTATAAAAAGTGAATTTTAAATAGAAATTGTTGGGTTAAGGGCCCAAGCCG